TCAGCCTTTGCCATTGTGTGCATTAATACTGAATGTGTGTCATTGTTATTATTTACGTTAAAGCATAGAGCCATGGTTTCCGCTACATAAATTTTTCCATGGCGGGGCGCCACACCAAAATTAATCCCGCCACGGCTACATTACAGCTTTCCATTCAAAACATTCAGTCGTGTTTTTTTTAATGTGATAATCGCAGTATCGCACGAAAACGTATTAAAAGGTAAGTGAATTATAACCGTGCAAACTTTTCTGTAACCGTAGTAGTGCTGTGCGCAGGGCCGGCGTGTCCATAGAGGCAACCTAGGCGGCCGCCTAGAGCGGCATAATAGAGAGGGCGGCGTCCCTGACACTACCCTCACCACCCACGCCCTTAGTTATATCCGCGTCTAGGGCGGCAGAATAGAGAGGGCGGCGTCCGCGACACTACCCTCATTACCCGCGCCATCAGTTATATACGCGTCTAGGGCGGCAGAAGAGAGAGCTGAAAGCTCCCCCCCCTCACCTTAGGGTTGTGGGCGGCGTGACCGTCCTTTGCCTAGAGCAGCAGTTCAGCTTGCTCCGGCCCTGGCTAAGCATCATTTGTTTAACCCTTTAAGGTTACGTGCTGACTAACTGACTGGCGCACTGACAGGTGTGTGATGCGTCATACCAGCAAACACAATGTATAGCCGTTTCACTTTACTTCAGAACGCATTAATATCGTTCTATAAGTCTATTGGAGACATTCATAGATATTCCTAGTAATCTAATAAATGTTGGAGACATTCTTAGATAAACGCACTAAATCGCACTTCAGCAGCGTTTACTCAAGAGCGCACAAGAAGATCTGCGCTTGAGCAGCGTATATTTGAGGGGGCATGCAAGAAGATTTGTGCATGAGCAGAGGAAATCGGCGCGCAAGCAAAAAGATTTGCATGCTCGTAGACTATTACATAAATGCGATCTCAACTTGTTATACTGCGCTCACGACATTGGTCATTGAAATAGTGGCAGGTAGTTGGTAGATCTGTGTAAAAAAGGCCTGCCGCCAAAGCTGGAAAAAATCCTAGAGGAAACACTGAGAGCAATATGCTGGTGTTTAACTACATTGCTTTAATGCACTCCTGCATTGGGCTGACACAAATACCTGCCAACAGTTGTCCCTGAAAATCCAGGAGACCCGGAGGGTTAGGTTCGAGGGTGAGGTGTCAGAATAACACTGTTTAGAACCGGGTAGTGTGTACTAGGGTGTTAGTAACTACTATGAAGTGTGTTTCGGGCCGCCACTGCAATCAGATCCTATACCAATGTTGGTGACCTGCGGGAAGGTGGACGGTTGAAATTATGGGAGTTTTCCGGCATAAATAACAAAACGGGAGGAGGGTGGGAGATAATACAGTGAAATACGGGTGACTCTCAGGAAAAACAGGAGTGTTGGCAGATATTCTCACACATACACTATGCACTCTGACTACTTCAATATTGTTGAAAAGCTGTGGTGGGCATCTCCACTGTCTCGCATTGAACACTGTTGACCAATCGAACCATCTGACCAATCAGTGCAGATTAGCTTCGTGCTAAGGAGGGTTTGGGAACAAATGAATCGCTGAACAAATTATTGTTCATTATTATTATTATCAAATTATTGTCTCTGGGATAAATATGGGATAAATATGTAAAAATAAATGCATATTATAAGACCATGAAAGTGTTTTTTGACCTTGCATGCATATCAGCCTGTTGTTGGAGACCCTTAAAACCAAATTATGACCCTTTTTATTGTTTAATAGTGGCTCTTAAAAAAACACTATATTATGTTGGAGCATTTCATGAAACTTTCATGTAAAACAGTGCTCTCAAAAATTGTGATGGTTGTTTATTATCAGAGGAGTGAGAGGGTGGTGGTTGTGGTTTCAGCAGATGTATGGATGATTTCTGTTCTCTCCCGAAACCAAGAGTGTGCTTCTGTGTTTTGTTGGTGACCAGGTCTGTGTGAGGCCGTGAGAGATCTCACAGGTGTGTAATGTTTGCATGGACTCCAACTGACTCCAGTTACACCAACCGTCAGATTAAAGCCACTAAACCTGCATTAACAGACTTTCAGCAGACGAGTGTGTATACAAGCTCTTGATTTAATGAACCTGCACCCACACTAAGACTAGTTTCTCTAGATGAGCAGGGTTGGGCGTTTTTTGAGAAATGCGTTGTGAACTGGCTGTCTAGAGGTCTGATTAACTTTGGTTGGTCTGGTCATTTTATGTAATCACTGCATTTTGAATTCAATAATTTTATATATATATATATATATATTTGATTATTGTATATTTTTTAGATTTTGTCAAAGTTATAAGAAATTGTAACCATAATCATATAATGCTTTTCGCCTGTTATAACGAACAGAAACTAAGATGAGCCTAATAAATTTAAAAGTCCTCAAGCAAGCTCTATAAAGCCTGTAATAAAATAAGAAACTAACTATGAACAAAAGGAGTGTTTTTAAACGCTTGAAATATGAATTAAAGCTGCATAGTCTGCACTGTATGAATTGAAACGCACTGACACTAATTAAAGCTTCAAAAGTAAAAAAAAAACTCAAAAGCAGTGACATATTTTGTGTGCATGTAGCAGTTAAAGCAGATTAAGCCACAGAAATGCAGTGCATCCATGAGCACATGCTTTAGGTTTGTCTGTCAGACGCTGTGCAAGTAGTAAATTGAGTTGTCTTTTGTGGCTTTATGTGCTTGAGTGCTTTAAAATCACTTGAGCTTTTAACTGGGAACACAAATGAACATGCAAATGATAACATTTTGGACTGCACAAAACTAAAGATGGGGTCGCATTTAATACTGCTGACAAATTTCCTGTTCATCTTATCTGCTGGTGTATTGACCACCTCCATGTCATAGTGGTGAGGGTTTTTCAGACTCCTTGTGCAAGTTTCAACGTTAAATTAGGGTTTTACTTAGAATGTCTTGGTAACAACTAACATTGGTGTCCAAAAATATATTAAGATAAGAGCCTGTTCATTTCCCAGAGATGGGTTGCGGCTGGAAGGGCATCTGCTGCGTAAAAACTTGCTGGATAAGTTGGCGGTTCATTCCGCTGTGGTGACCCCTCATTAATAAAAGGACTAAGCCGACGAGAAAATGAATGAATGAAGAGCCTGTTCACACACAATTCAGCAGTATCATTCAGTTAAGTGTTTTTTTTTTTGTCTCTTCAGAGTCAGACCAGTGTTGGATGGGTAGAATGTAAATGCAAAATACATTGGTGGCACTTGAAGGGGTTGTTTGCTTAATTCATTTTTTTTGCCCTCAGGCTAGGGTTGTGCAATTATATGTTTCTTTATTTAGATAAAAACCCATTGAGATCAAGATCTCATTTACAAGGGTGACCTGGCCAAGAGGTCTGCAACACACAATAAAAAAAATAAATGTAATAATATTAATAATAAGTAGAAAATTAATATAATATTAAAATACAGTTCAGTTCTCCAGCTTTACCACATTTTAATATATTAAAAACACATACATTGAGAAATGGACTGTTGTTGTTTGTTTAAAAGGATAGAGCGAAACGATGCCTTTAGGATGAGCTCAGATATCTTTAGTTCAGACTGAAGAGTATTCCAGGATGAGGGGGCGGCATGACTAAAGGCTCACTTGCCTATTTCAGTTCGAACCCGGGTAACAGTCAAATGATATGATTCACTTGAGTGTAGGGCATACTGTCTTTTAGACTTATGAAGAAGGGAACATGGGTAAGAAGGCACCAGTCCCAGAAGAGCCTTGTAGAGTCATCCAGTGGGTGTACCTTCTTACACAGAGAAGGCCACTCAGCTTTGGCATACAAATCACAATGGTAAGTCAAACTCAATGGTGAGTAAGTCAAACCGTCAAACGTCATCAGGGAAACGGTTTAAATTTACGCTTAGTAAAACACATTAGTGAAAAACATTAGTGCTCCATTTGAATTTTAATCGACATTCAGAACATATAATCAATCAAATTTTTTTAGGACGATTTTTTAAAATACTTTCCCTACCGCATGTAGAGTCACGTGACCCTGCTCTGTTAAAGGCTGAGACGAATTTATATTTCTGCAGCCACATCTGATCTCTGGTCAAGTATGACGATGGCCCCATTCTTGAGCCTTACTTTGCACTACATTGGCGATGATTGGAAGCTGCGCTGAGATGCCTTGAGTCGGCATATTTTCCATTACATTAAAATTATTATTTACATGCAAATATTAGTTAATAGAAGATGCAAAGAATGCAATGTTATTTACAGGATATGCAAGAGTTATTTTATTTAGAAGAGATATAAGCTGCATCTTAAAAGGCACACTATGCACTCATGCACTATTTACTTATGCACTTACACACTCAACAGTATAGTATATGTATGTAGTGTCATCCCAAATAAAGCACTAATGTTTTTTACTAAGCGGAAGTTTAAACCGTCTCCCTGATGACGTTTGACGGTTGCCAAATCAGTGAAATAAATGATCAAACTTTCAAATAACACCTGCCATGAGTATAACCGCACTCACCATTGTAAGGCGCTATAATCACTCTCGTAGAAGAATTTTGCTTTCACAATACAAAAAAAAAAAAGTTATCCAACATGTGCGCCCGATAGCTCCGCCCCTTCCGAGCCCTACATGAGCAAACCTGCGGTCGTTGAGTATGTGAAGTGTCCATCATTCCACACTACATTTGAAAATGTTCAATTAATCGAGATTTTGATTTTACGCCAAATCGCCCAGCCCTACCTCAACCCATCCAATTTTTTTATTCAAAGCCATACTTATTTATTATTTTTAAGTCAGAGGAAGAAAATAGAAAATGTTCAATTAAATGTATACTCCTGATTTTTAATGTGTATGCTATTATTATTTAGTGTTTGTCTGAATGCTCATTCTTCAGACTGTATGTGTGAGGTTTATCGCTTGTTTATTTTTTAAAATTCTATTGCAATGTTGTGTTTCAAATGCTTTTTTTTTGCATGTTCTTGCAGGGCTTCTGCAGCAGTAGTACAGTGTCTGTACCAGAAAGTCTGCTCTTTGTGTCCACCTTAGATGGGAACCTTCATGCTGTCAGCAAGATATCTGGAACCATCAAATGGACCTTGAAAGAAGGTATGCATCTTGCTTAAAAGATCTATCCATTTTTAAACTGGTGTATCATGAGATCAAATTGTTTCACAGTGTATGCCCTGGTAGCCTGTGGAAGCTAACACCAGCACTGTTTACTGGTTTGTATTATTGTGGTTCTAAGAGCTTTTGAATTAAAGGCTCTCCATTGCGCAACACAATATTCAAAGATCTGTTCATACAGGCTGAAATATATCTACTAGTAATTGCAAAGTTGTTTGTTTGCAAGATTTTTTATATTAACAAAAACTGGGAGGGGCAATATTTCAAGTGAATTAGGTTGCATTTCATTCACCTGTTTCTAAGTAAACCTGTTGAACAGGCTAAGCAAGTCAGACATGCTGGAGCTACATGACTGCAGCCTATGTTAGCGGCCGTTGCACTATATTCAATATTATTTTATCTGAATTGTGATGTAAAGAACCACATTTGTTATATACCAGACCTGTCAAAACCTGTACTATATATATATATATATATATATATATATATATTAAGGGCGGAGCCGAACCCGAATACGGTATTCGGAAAGGCACGAATAGCGTGTTTTTACGAATACTTGATTCGAACAAATACTTGAAAAATTATTTGTATTCGGGAGCAAGAAAAACACTATATCAAAAAGCAGCGTTTCCTCATGAGACCACGGTGCATGCCCGCGTGAGTGAGTGAGTGAGTGAGTGAGAGAGAGAGAGAGAGAGAGAGAGAGAGAGAGAGAGAGAGAGAGAGAGAGAGAGAGAAAGACACACGCTCAGTTCAAAACGCGCCAAAGCCCGAAACTGAAAGCAAGACGTGACTTTTAAGGGGCTGTTTCATATGGATTTATTAATCATTCTTACTGTTCAGTGATCGCAAACTGCCGTAGTTTATTAAAGACGCAAACCCCTCACTGCACGTCAGCTGCGCGCCTTTAGCAGACCTCCTCCTTCCTGCAGCACGAGAGCTTTATGATTGTTTATGCGCGCCAAAAGTGGCGGATCTGTCCGGTAAAATATCTGACTGCGTGTCACCGCATCCCTAAGGACTGTTAGGCGAAATATTTGACTGCATGTCACTGCATAACAAACGACTGAAACAATATAACTAGAGAAATCTCCACTGTGCCACTGTGCGTATGGCAAGCCGTTTTAGCATTTAAACCTTGTTCAGACTATCCATAAATATATTTAGAGATATCTCTAATTATATTTTGACTTGTCATAATTATAATTCAGATTGGAAATATCTGCAAATATATTATGACTGACTAGTCATATTCCTCCATTGACTTCCATTGAAAAATATTTGCAGATATCTCTAAATAAACAAATAAACAAACTTTGTGTCTTTTTTTGTGGCTGGCAGATGATAATAGCAGGGCTGTATCTTTTAGTATTATATAGAATACTTTTGTTCTGCCAGATCTCCCAGGCAGGGTTTTATTTAGATTTATTTAGTTAATTTTAGTTTTTGGAATTCTGCCCATTGGAAAGAAGTTCTTTCAGAAGAAGAACAGTTTTTTGAAGTATTATTTGTTTTTATTCTGTCTATTCAGTGTCCTTCAACAAGAACGGTGGTGGTGGGGTTCATAGTATTCACAATGGGATTTTATTAGTTGTTGGTTTAACCATGGATGAGATAATGGCTTCTATGTTATTTTCTTTTCAATGACATTTCTTATCACATGTTCAAAAACAACAGCCAATATTGCATATCTATAATTTATATAATGGGTATAATTAAACAATACTTTCAATATAACGTAAATTAGAAGTGTAATAGAAAAAATATATATTTTTGCGCCATTTTGAATTTTACTCGAATACAAATACAAATACAAATACTTTTCCCCTCTCAACAAATACAAATACAAATACAAATACCGGCTGCTCCGCACATCCCTAACATATATATATATATATACATATATACAGGGCTTTGCATTAACACCTGCCAAATGCGGGTAGATTTCGGCGCAGTGGCGGGTAAGACAGACACTTCCCACTAGCCACTTTGGCTGGTTGAAAATAATTTTCAAAGATAATAATTGTTAAAAGCAGGGTTCGACAATAAGGATGGTCAAATACGCATGCACAGGCGATCGAGAAGCAACACGACTGACAAAAATAATTGCTTTCGCAACTTCGCGCGACCAAAGCAGTTGAATACCGAATGAGAGGATAATCACTCGCGCAAACAGCTAAGGTGATGCGCGCGACTATTTATAACGCATGCACGCTCCCGTTTCCTTTTGTGAAGCAACTGTGTCTAGAAACACAACTGATGCGATCGGTTCTCTTACAAATAGACTGGACAAAAAGGGAGGAAAATGCACCTACAGTCTTGCTGATTTCAAGAGTTCTAGAGTTGACTTATTGTAAGCAGCGCCAGTTGCTTTCACTTTAACCATTCTTTGAACAGATTATTTATGGGTCTATCACATCATTAACCATGTGTGTGTGTGATCATCCTTTCATTATCACACAGTATGTTTTTTACCTGCTTTCTTTTGCATTAATATGGTTTAATTATCATTTATTTTAGAATAACATTGCTTTATTGGGAGAATAACTCCCCATTTATGTGTAGTTAACTGGTGATCTGGGACCTTTAGGGCATATGACTGTGCATATCTTTTGTTAAATAAAAACAAGTATAGTATTCAGCTTTATTTTGCTTGTTTTGACACATTTGAGATTTGTGGCTAAGAAATAATGAACTGTTAATGTATGATGTGGTCAGAGATAAATTGGGTAAATCCTTCATTTTGGGCTCTGAAAATTATGAAAACTATTGTAATATATGAAACCCTGACCCATTTGCTCATGATTATTGAGCAAGCTCATACACGACACACAAAAAGTGAAATGACTCTAAATCAAGTAATTTTAATATGTCAAAGTCATATTTATACATACTCATATATTTTCCCAACAATAAAATTGTGGCTAGTGAAAATGGCGAGTGGCTAGTAATGTTGTAAAACTACTAGCCACAGTGGCTGGTGATCAAAAAAGTTAATGTTAAGCCCTTCATTCATTCATTTTCTTGTCGGCTTAGTCCCTTTATTAATCCGGGGTCGCCACAGCGGAATGAACCGCCAACTTATCCAGCAAGTGTTTACGCAGCAGATGCCCTTCCAGCCGCAACCCATCTCTGGGAAACATCCACACACACTCATTCACTACGGACAATTTAGCCTACCCAATTCACCTGTACCACATGTCTTTGGACTGTAGGGGAAACCTACAAACCCACACGAAGGCAGGGAGAACATGCAAACTCCACACAGAAACGCCAACTGAGCCGAGGTTCGAACCAGCGACCTTCTTGCTGTGAGGCAACAGCACTACCTACTGCGCCACTGCCTCGCCATGTTATGCCCTCTATATATATATATATATATATATGGTGACACAAACTTATAACTTGTATATCCATTTGACTAAGGTCATATCTAATAGAGTATATCCTGAGAGCAGTACGAATTAATGAAATCATTTATTTAAACAGAATAATATCTGTGAACTCCCAAATCTGTGTTTGCTTTGCATTGTCTTCATGTTTACTCATCTCTTCAATAACATGTGAAGAAATGTATAATTCTTAAACTTTTCATTTTCAATGCAGATCCTGTTTTACAAGTCCCGACGCACGTGTCAGAGTAAGTATTCTTTCATTTATTTACACAGAGTTTGTGCATCATTAAAACTAATAACAGAAACTGTGCAAGATGCTGCACAAGCACGATTTTTCCTGTTCAGTCTTTTATCTCTCAAAACTACTGATTAAAACTCCCAACACTTTGGGCCTCATTTATCAGTTCAACGTAGAAAGAACGCAGATCTGAGAACACAAATACATTTTTGAAATATTCATATGCAGACAAATCCCATCACACCGGCAATCGTGTTGATAAATGTGGCGACTGAAATCAATCATCATTTGACTGTCAGACCTGTCGCAGGCTCATCTGTTGATTTTTAATCTTGGACTTTAAAACACACGTCCGTCTCAATTATTCTGTGCACTACCAGCTACCAAAAATTTTTTTTTTTCCTATACTTTATTGTCCCATAAGGGCAAATTTTCTGTGGGCTCACAGGGCACTTCAGCAAGTTCTGACACAATAAAAATTATAAAATAAGCAACCCTGTGAAGGGATTACATACAAGAAAAACATATGCACACTATTGATTAGTGTTCAACAGTCTGATTAACACTGGGATAAAGGAGTTCTTAAAGTGCACCTATGGTGAAAAATCTACTTTTAAAGCTGTTTGGACAGACATGTGTGTAAGTATAGTGTATAGACTGTCATATTGAGGTGATATAAACACACCCAGTCCTTTTTTTTTTCAAATTTAACAACATAAAAACGGTGGACCAATTAAATCGGTTTACAGATCGACCGCAAGATTGATTGACAGCTGGGCGCATTAACATGTCTCGATATTAATGCATATAATTATATCAACAAGACAGGACGAGCGCAAAGCAACCGGGAATAAAAGGTCTGTTCAGTTTGCTAGGATCATCAATCATCATCAGACGTGATCAAGAGTGAGTTTTACAAGTTTAACATGTTTTAAAACGTGTGCACGTGTGTAATGAAGTACAGCGATTCACTTCAGATTCACTTCATCAGCACAGCCGCGTGTCTTACTCACTGTCTCTGTGTGTGTGTGTGTGTGTGTGTGTGTGTGTGTGTGTGTGTGTCTGCGCTACATGTCTATGCTATGTGTGTGTGTGTGTCTGAGTGCCTACGCTATGTATGTGTGTGTGTCTGCGCTACGTGTCTGTGCTATGTGTGTGTCTACGCTATGTATGTATGTATGTATGTGTGTGTGTGTCTACGCTACGTGTCTGTGCTATGTGTGTGTGTGTCTGTGTGTCTGCGCTATGTATGTGTGTGTGTCTACGCTATGTGGCTGCGCCGTGTGTGTGTTTGTCTGCGCTGTGTGTGCGTGAACTCATTGTTGCAACTCCACAAAAAATTGCATCAAATACTGATTGGTAAAGTTCTTACTGTAGTATTTCTCACAAACGTTACGTGAGATCTGCTTCCTGAGTCAGCCGAGGGCGGCGATTGAGGCATGCTGCTGACAGGCACGTGGGAACGGTGGGCGGAGATGACTAGCCTTAAAGGCCCAGTGCAAAAAAACAGCAACAACCTTTTCCCAGCTATAATACAAACACTTCAAACAGCTATAATAAATACTCTGATCGGTGTTTTGAGCTGAAACTTTACAGCCACATTCTGGGGTCACAAAAGACTTAATATATATGAAAAAGGGGTAACCTATGTGCCCTTTAAGTCTGCTCCACTTCCAACGGAAGGCTCTGTATCTTTTACCAGAAGGTAAAAGATCATAAAGTGGGATATGGGTTGTTTAAAATTCTTTTCGCTTCATTTAAAGTGCATTGATCGTAAAGTGTTTGAAGACTAGTAAAGGTTTCTATCCCAAACATCGCCTCAGAAAGTGTTATGGAGACTGTGTTTAGATTAATTTGTTTCTGCTGTATCAACATTTACATAACTATTTTAGTTTGATTTCACTGCATCTAAAAACAACAAAAACAGCCAAAACGTCTAGTTATCAATTGCAGTTAAGCTTCGTGGATCACAGTCAGTACATCGAAAATCCATAGTCCAGTGCACATGACGTTTTTAGGCTACCGTCACATCACTTTCTTAGGAACTACCATTTTAAGAGTTCACACTAACATATTGCTTGATGATATTAGCAGGTTTGGCATGCTGTCCTGGGAGAGAACTCTGAGCTTGGAGATGATTGAGCCCAGGGCTCCCACCTGGCCAATAAGCATTTAAGGGGGTCTGAGGTAGTTCTCGAGAGCTCCTCTATTAAAGGAGGAAAAGTGGGAGATGTGTTGGATGGGGATTCTTTAAAAAAACAAAGATAAGGGAGTAATGCTAGACTGGCTATTTATAATGTGTTGTCGGAATTATCTGATTGGCTTACTAATGATCACAGATGAGAGACTAGCCGCGATCAATCATATCACATGCTTCTCTCGAAATTAGTTTGTGAAACTTGACTTATATGCTGCTGCTTTCATTTTGTTAATGATTCTTGTATTGTTGGTTTGGCAAATTTAGCTATTGTTGAGTGTTTACAAGTTTATTTTGTTAGATTGATATGAACTGTTTAGTTCTCCTCATTGAATTGGTAAAGCCTGTAGATGAGGCTTTAGTCTATTAAAGGCTTTCTGGTTTTAAGAAGTCAGTCTAGATGCTGACAGACAAGCCACCCAGTTCTGGTCCAGTGAGCACAACATTGCTGTTTTGTTTCATTTTGTGCAGTTTTTTGTTTTTTTAACTGTAAATATTTACATTATATTGACATTACATCTTCCAAATAAAACGTTTTATATAATTACACGTCATTTTAATTCGCACTCCAACTGTTCGACTTGCTTCAACACCCCTAAATGCGCACTCACACTATGCTACCATGCCCAGGCCCGTTTCCTTGATCCTTTGAGAAGTGTGAGTGCTCTAAATCGGGCTTAGGCGCGGTTCAGTTGGCCAGCCCTGGCCAGGTTGAAAGAGATGTGTCAGATCGCGGTTCACTTGGGCTCAGCGGTATGCTTGTAGTGTGAGTGCAAAGTGCGCCTAAACGCAAAACTGAAGACAAGACGTGATTTTTAAGGGACTGTTTCTTGTGTATTTGTTCATTTTTCTCACTGTTCAATGAACGCAAACTGTCAAAGATTATTAAAAACGGAAACCAGGAGGGCGGACAAGTGTGTTTCGGCCCGGTTCAAGCCAACTGTACATAGTGTGAGTACGCCCTAAATATTCACATTTTAGACGCCTCACCTCTCAAGTTTACAGCATGGTTATATGTAACCTGGCCGAAAAGAGGAACTTCTCTGACCAAGAGTGAGATTAACACTGATCTTCAGATGAATTATCAGTGGCAGTTATGTAAAAGGGAACGTAATGAAGTCATAAACGTTTGCTATGTTACCATGCAAATTCAGCCAACTTAAGTAATTTATTTTTCCTTTATTTATAGAAACTTCAAAAAGGGCTCATTTCCCTTTTTTCTGCGATATTAAAATTTTCACTTGCCCTCAGTCATTATAAGCCAGCCAGTATTATAAATACTGAAATGAGCATGAATCAAAACAACTGTTAACCACGTTTCAAACAATTAAATTGATAAGCAGACCTATAATATAGTAGGGTTAAATTACATCCAGGAGGTTGATATTGCAGAATAATGTCTGACAGAATAATGCCCCAATAAATACTTATACATTTCTAAAATATATATTACATAGTATTACCTTTCACTCATTACAGCTACTTGCCACAAAACATAAATATCTGACACAAAAGATTGTTCTGAGCTGTCAAAGTTTATTCTTTCTTTAATAAAACCAAATCGTAGAGGAACACAAACAGAATGAGTACACACTAACTTTTATTCAGTCAAAAGATGATGCCAAACAGTAAAACAAAACTTAGCAAAACCTCCCAAGTAAAGTGTATATTACCCTACGTGTTGTTCTTGCACCAAACAGTCAAAATCTGCAGCGTGACAGACAAGCAGATATATATGAATGTGGATGTAAGTATATAGATTTGAATAAATTCACTGACAGTCAAGGTGATTTAAAGTTCCTGGATGACTCTGTGTTATTTAGCAGTTGTTATCCCGGAATAAAATACATTGGAAGGGCTTGATAGAGCAATCAGAATTGAGTATATCAGACAGCCATGTAATAAAGCCTAATATTCCTTAATATTAATGTAATAAAAAATAACAAATTGCTCCAAAAAAAAAAAAAAAACTTGTTGAACTATAAACAAAAAATAAAAGAAAACATGAGTCAACTTTTAGACATCCAAATGGATAAAGAAAACCTTTTATGCTTAATGAAAAACTTGCGTATACAAGCAGAGACCAGGCGTGAGATTCCATCACAGCTACCACTCACATCCATATTGATTTTGTGTTAAAATGTCTGTATGCCCAATGTTTTTGTCATGTGTTCATTTGATAAATTAGGCTCAAATAATCTCACATAAGGATTACCGGTAAATGCAAATGTCTGTATGCCGTTTACTTAAAGATCATTTTGGAAATCTTCAAGGCTCTTGTCCATATAACAGTACTTTTTAGTGCCCTCTTGTGTTCTATGAGAACTAACAAAAACAAACAACAGAATTCTGGTTTGGAACAACATCAAATTTCGAACATATCGTGCAAACCTGAATACATTTTTTTGATTTTTTGTTTTGAATTCATAGGCCTGCATTTCTCCCGGATCCCAATGATGGCAGTTTGTACTCTCTCGGAGGGAAGAATAATGAAGGGTTGACGGTGAGAGTATTTTTCATTTCTCATGAAGGACTTCCTCATTCTCTGTAAGTTGATGGTGCTATGTTTAGCAAAGTTAGCTTTAGAAATGGCAATCTCATTCTGAAGTGAAACGTTTGAGGTTAATAACTGTAGCTGCATCAGCAGTACATATAGTCAACATTTGATGTGGATGTAAACAGTCCTCCTTTACATATTCGATACACATTTTGGTTTTAGGAAATTTGATGAAAGGTTTTGATTCAGTTTAAATGTTGACAGCAAAGTTTTTAAGTTTTTTCAAAGTTTTAAAGTTTTTAACGTTTTTGCAGAAGTAAAACGGGGTGTCCATGGGGTCTTAAAAAGAAGTGAAAGTTGGTAAATCAATGTACAGAAATTTTTCCCTTAAAAAGTATTTAAAAAGGTCTTAAATTCTATTTTGCGAGGTATTATATTTTAACATTTTTGATTATGCATTGAATGGTTGTTTGCCAGAGTTTGCCTGAATTAAATCTGTGAATATTAGCATGCTGTGTAGCTTATGAAATCAACAAAATCTTGCTAGATTTGACATCATGCTGCTTAGTTTATTGCAGTAACCAAGGCAACAACATCGTTATTGCTGCAGTTCTATAGGCGCCAACCTGCGGAATTAGCTAGATTTAATAGCTTTTGATTTAGTATATGAATAATGTTTTAGCTTTGGATTAGTTTCTTACATTAATATAGTGAATATACTTTAAGTCTCGCCAGTGTTTCCGGTTGAAACTTAAGTGGTTATAAGGTCCTGAAATCTATGGAAAGAGTCTTTAAAAACGTCTTAAGGGCTATTGAATTTCACTCTCTGATTCCTGTATATACTCTGTAAAAATTTAAAAATGACTCTAACATTTGTTATTTTTGCAGAAACTGCCGTTTACCATTCCTGAGCTGGTTCAGGCATCACCCTGTCGCAGTTCTGATGGCATCTTATACATGGGTAAATTAAACCTCACTTATACAATTGCTTGTCGACAGTCTCAGAGATTTGGGGTGAATTCCAAAATGTAGTTGCACTTTTGAAGAGCACACTTGGAAGGAGATGGTGTTCCAAGCAATGTCCAAACAAATGAACAAGTGATTTTAAACCTAAATATAACAGGAGAATTTGAGTTAAAGTATAAAAAGAGGTTGTTTTGTGTTGTTGTGATGTATTACATTTTCACCAGGCATTTCATATGAGGTATAAATGTGTTTTATCTGAGGTTAATGATAGTCTACTTGACTATAACTGCAGGGTTCAAAAAAGAGAATTCTTGTTGTTGCTGCCTAGTGCTGACATGATAACAATACAATGGGTGATAAATAAATGATGTTGTCTTTTATTGCTAAGTCTATGCAAATGACTTAAAGCAGGGGTCACCAATCTCGCACCTGGAGGGCCGGTGTCCCTGCAGGGTTTGGCTCAAACTTGCTTCAACACACTTGCCTGGATGTTTCAAGTATATCTAGTAAGACCTTGATTAGCTTATTCAGGTGTGTTTGATTAGGGTTGGAGCTAAGATCTGTAGGACACCGGCCCTCCAGGAACAAGTTTGGTGACCCCTGACTTAAAGCAAAGAGCTTAGAATGACCAAGAGGCGACACTCTAGTTTAATTTAGGAAACAGCCACTGGAGGGTGCAGCGGCCATTTTGGAATGAAAACTCCAATAGAACAACAGCATATTATAAGTCTGTAAAATAAACTATTAAAAATGCTGATGATTGTGAAAATAAGTGTTGTATTGTCGTCTTTCATGTTGTATCTCAGTTTTGATGCGCTTTTTAAATAAATAAATAAAAAACAAAGCAGCTGCTTGCCATCGCGACAGTAATGAGATCCAATGGACGGCCGATCGCTTTCACTCCAAAATGGCGGAATCCAGGGCTGTTGCTGGGCGTTGCTGTGGCAGTGGAACATTATATTGAGTGTCGCCTCTTGGTCATTCTAAGCTCTTTGCTTAAAGTCTGGTTATTGAAGTCCCCACTTCAGGGTATCTGCCCTTCGGAGTGAGTGGGGGATTTATTTTGAACACGATTAGACTACCCTGAAGTTGTGGCAGAAATTGGGGAACTGATCAGTTCCTAATAGCCTCACTGCAGGAGGGGTGGTACTGTGGATTGTTTTGTAATCTCTCCACAAACACCACAAGACTGTCTGTCTGTACCACCCTTTCTTAACCATCAAGGGTGCATAATCACAAGGCAGCTATACCTCAAATAACACCCTCCCAACCCATAAGGAGTAGGCCAAACAGTGATTAAATCAGACTGCAGACATAAAGGTAAAATAATGATTTAAACTCATTACTTGTTAATCACTCTAAAGGATTTATTAACTGTTTATTCGTTTGCATTTAAGTTGCAATTTGCACTGGAGAATCAATAAGTGTCATATATCACAGTGTAACCTACAGGAAATAGCCTCGTTTGAACTCAAAGCCACACGTGTTTCGAAGCATAAACATGTGGTGTGTTTGAACTGACTTGTTGATGTCTGTTTACACATCCTGGAGAGAACATTTACCCATGTCACATCAGTTTTCTGTGGACTTTTGGTCTTTTAAGATGATAAAGGGTAAAATGAAAGGTGTAAATGGCAAGCATGTAGGAAAACCTCTTTTTTAAATATGTAAATCAGGGTTTTGAAATGTCTTAAATCCCAAAATCAAAATTTAAGCCTTAAAAAGTCTTAAATTTACTGAAATATTGTGTTGTAGGTCTGAAATATTTTTTTAACAGGTCTTAATTTTTATTTGTTCATGTATTGCAACCCAATGTGGCCAACACCCATACAATCACCACCAATCCATCTCAATAAAACGCTTATTTAAAAAAAGGTCATTTTTAACTATATATCATAATGGTGTAATTATTTTCTTTACAATAACATTTGTTTAAAAGTTTTTTTTTTTTTTGATAAGGTAAATAATAATCTTTTCCATCTAGGTCATTTGAAAAATTCCTTAGCCTTTAACGCTTTACGGGTCTAAAATTTTATTCTTAATGATCTTAAAAATGTCTTAAAGTCTTAAATTTAACTTGGTGAAACCTGCAGGAACCCTGGTAAATATACCTTATACATCTTCGAGCACTAAAAGGTTATGCCTTTGTACTGTGTCCTTGGCATTTTGTTGATTACTAAAAGTAGGACAATCAAGACATGTAGCATGTAAAACATTCAAATATAACTATTTCAAAGCTGAGATTAGTGCGAAATGTGCAAAGTAATATGCTTTAACAAACCTACAAGCTTCGCATTTCATTCAACCCTCAAGATGAAGGATCTTTATAGCAACCTGTGTATATGTTGCTTAATGAATGCTTTTTTATTTATTCTTCATTGAGGTATTCATTATATCACTGTTTAAAGGTGCAGTTGGTGATTGTCTTCAGAAACATTTTTTGTTGTGCTGGTTGAAAGTCTCTTCACATTCCAATAGTAATCATTAAAGTAAACGATCTAAATGTGTTTATATGTATTTTTATATTCTGGATAAGGCATAAAACTAAAAATGTTCATCCAATTAAATATTGTCGTACCGACAAATAACTCGCACACACGTGAAGATTACGGATCTACTGCTGACAGAGAGACATCAGGCAAACTTTGCATCAACCGGAAGTTCTTTCGGAAAGACCAATGTGGCCTTGTATGCATGAAAAGAAAGATTGTTTCTAAAAATGCAGAACCAAAACTTTTCTAAACCCTGAATAAATGTCGGAATTACTCTTGCATACTGATGGGCAGTGACGTTATGCAGTTCAAAAGAACGCTCTGAAAGGTGACACCCCGGCTGCCGCTGAAGTATTTATTTTAGAAAGGTATGTTTTAAAACTATTTTAACCACACAAAGCTGATATAGATTGTTGTTGTTTATGAATTGGTTTATATACAAGGAAGTGTTGTTCAGCCATTCAAAACGTCCGGCAAAAGATATTTTAAAGTTCATGGAGTACCTTTTACAGCATTGATGATAAAGTCGGTTAAATAGACCTGAGCATTCGTTTAGTTGTTCAAGTGTAAAAGGAGAATGTAACAAGCGATGTACGAGAATCATTGAGCAAAATTGAAAATGAATAGTCACTTATTGTCTTGGTAACGTAAGGGTAGGTGTAATGCAAAACTTTTTTTTTTTTTAGATTCTTTTAAGTAGTTTTTAGCACTCCTTTTTTTGATAACATTTTTATTTAGTTTAATAACGCAACATCAGTAAATGTGCTTTTCCAGCTTTTCTGAGGTGAAGTTTGATTTATATTCACCTATTTGTTTATTGTTGATCAGTGATCTGTGAAATATAATATAATATAATATAATATAATATAATCCAGCACTCACTGGCCTGTTAACAACTACGCTTGATAAAGTGTGCGTCTCCATAGAGTTTTTTAACTGCTGAATGACATGATCTAGTTTTATATGTAATCAGTGCGCATTCGCACGTTTATGACTTAAGGAGGCGTGGCTTTGGACAGCAGGGGAGGGTCGTAAAATTTCCAAGCCATTATGCTAATGCTAGCATTCTGGCAGATCACCTACTGCACCTCTAATTGTATGATTATTTATATCGTATGTATTTGTCATTTTATTGTGTATCCTTATTTTATTAATACGATTTTGCCAATATTATTACATTTACTTTTCCTTATTTTTATCATCTTTGGTTTCAAGGAATATTTGTTTTTGTTAGTAAGAGATAAGGCAAGGCAAGTTTATTTATAAAGCACGTTTTATACACAAGGTGACGCAGTGGCGCAGTAGGTAGTGCTGTTGCCTCACAGCAAGAAGGTCGCTAGTTCGAGCCTCGGCTGGGTAAGTTAGCGTTTCTGTGTGGAGTTTGCATGTTCTCCCAGCATTCGTGTGGGTTTCCTCTGGGTGCTCCGGTTTCCCCCCACAGTCCAAAGACATGTGGTACAGGTGAATTGGTTGGCTAAATTGTCCGTAGTGTATGAGTGTGTTTCCCAGAGATGGGTTGCTGCTGGAAGGGCATCCGCTGTGTAAAAAACTTATCCTGGATAAGTTGGCGGTTCATTCTGCTGTGGCAACCCCAGATTAATAAAGTGACTAAGCCGAAAAAAAAACGAATGAATGAATTTCACACAAACAATGGCAATTCAAAGTGCTTTACATAAGAGAATGTCTGGTTTATAACTTCATTGAATGAGGTTGTGATGCTGTAGTTTTCCATTGATAGAGCCTGTGGTAAGAGTTGTTGGATTTGTGATGATCAAATCTGAATATTGAATCATTTTATATTTCTATTACATATTGAACACGTAGAGTAGAATTATCACAGATGGATCTGATATTGGACTGAACATTGAAAACTGCATTTAGCCCCATGTCCAAGTATGTGATGTTTTTGCTGATGTGTGGTTGTAGGTAAGAAGCAGGATGTGTGGTATGTTGTGGATCTGCTGACTGGTGAAAAGAAGCAGACTCTGACTTCCTCCTATGCTGAGATGTTATGTCCATCTTCGTCCCTGTTTTACCTTGGCCGCACAGGTAAAACACAATCTATACCTGATTTTAATATCAAATCAAATCATCTGTGCTTGTATGTCTGAATTAGCTTGAAAAAAAAAACACTCCACAAGTAGAAATGCTTTGGTTTAAAAGTAAAAATGCAGTGATTGCTAAGTTTTATTGCTGGGTTTTTATGGTATTGCTTTTTTAAAATGATGCTTAATAATTAACTAATTGTCATTACAATAATGTGTTAGTAATAATTCTGCTGAGATGCAATATTTTAGTATTTAGATTAATATTCACTTTTGTTCATAGAGAGGCTGTGTTTGTGTTTCATACAAAAGCAACTCTTGTTACAAAATTATTTTGAACTCTAAAAAGACAAGAGAGGTCTCCAGTTAAGCATTTGTTGCTTTGTATATTTAGTTATATACAGTAGAGTATTGTTGTTTTTACACAACACATAATAAACAATAGCATACTAACAAACATTGTTAAAACGTACAACATTTTTATGGAGTAATGTAAATAGTAAAGGTGTCAAGGTGGTGCAGTGAGCAGCTCGATCGCCTCACAGCAGGAAGGTCGCTGGTTTGAGCCTCGGCTAGGCCAGTTTGCTTGATCTTCCCGTGTTTGTGTGCTCCGGTTTCCCCCATAAGTCCAAAGACATGCGGTACAGGTGAATTGGGAAGGCTAAATTGTCCGTAGTGTGTGTCTGTAAATGAGTGTGCATAGATTTTACCCAGTGATTGGTTACAGCTATGAAGGGCATCCACTGCATAAAACATATGCTGTATAAGTTGGCGGTTCATTCCGCTGTGGCGACCCCAGATTAATAAAATAAACTAAGATAAAAAGACAATGAATGAATGTAAATAGTAATGCATTAGTGCATTTGTGTGTTATACTTTGTCAGTAAGTGTTATCCGAAGCCATTTCTTTAACAGCTGGAGAATTATTCTAGTCTGATATAGACTCTTATTATTAAATTAATTTTCACCACATTTAGTCTTTCAGATGAGCTTTACATCAGTGTTTTGCGTTAGCCTGTTAAGGCATGTTAAACAGCCCATAGACAAAGGCTCATGCTCTCATGATGTCTGAGTCTTTGCTTTGTGAACAATCGTGCCAATATTTGATTCTTTTTAACAATTCATGGTGACAATCTGCACTACCTGACAAAGTTTTTTTGTCGATCCCAGTTGTATGAGCAAAAAAAGAATAACTTGACCTCTAGTTGATCATTTGAAAAAGTGGCAGATGGTAGATATTTCTGATGAATCATCTGTTGAACTGCACCCCAGTCATCACACATACTGCAGAAGACCTATTGGAACATGCATGGATCCAAGATTCTTACAGAAATCAGTTAAGTTTGGTGAAGGAAAAGTCATGGATAGGGGTTACATTCAGTATGGGGGTACGCGAGAGATCTGCAGAGTGGACGGCAACATCAACATCCTAATGCTGTGTTCACATCAGACGCAGTACGTGCGGATAAATCGCATGTAAATAGACACTTGAACATTTTGAGTTTACTCGCTTCATTCGCGTGTCAAATCCGCTTTATTCGCGCATGAAAATCACTAAGCAATGGACACGAATTCGCATCATAGGCGGGGCTTCTGTCCGCCTGATGACTGTAGCTTCGTTTCTTAATGGCTAACATGGATTTTATTGAGAGAATAGCTGTGTTTATGTGCTTTATGAAGCCTGAAAAACAGCGTCAATATATTTGGAGCCGTGTCTGACTCCACTAGATCCTTTCAGAGGTGCACCCAGCTCTGTGAATTCATAAACTCCTTCAGAAAGTTAACCTAGATGATGGAGGCTTTCAGCGGTGCTTCCAACTGAGCCGAGCCAAGTTTAATCAACTGTTGTCCGGTGTCGGCTGGAGGATTTTCCCCCGGGACACCAATAACAGACGCTACGTCATAAGCATGCCCATACAAGAGAAAGATCCTGATTGGTTAACATGGCGCGAATATCCACTGAAGTTCAGATTACGCATGTCAATCGTGACAATCGCACAAAATTGCACATCTTGCACGTCCCCTCAAATATACGCTGCTCAAGCGAAGATCTTCTTGTGCGCTTTCAAGTAAACGCTGCTGAAGTGCGATTTAGTGCGTTTATGTAACAATGTCTCCAACATTTATTAGATTTGCTAGGAATATTCAGGAATATTTAGGAATCTCCAATAGACTTACAGAGCCGTATTAATGTGCTGAAGTAAAGTGAAACGGCTATACATTGTGTTTGCTGGCATCACACACCTGTCAGTCGGCAAGTCAGTCAGTCAGCACATCACCTTAAAGGGTTAAACAAATGACGCACAGCACTACTACGGTTACAGAAAAGTTTGCACGATTATAATTCACTTACCTTTTAATAGGTTTTGATGAGATACTGCGATTATCACCCGCTATTAAAAAAACACGACTGAATGTTTTGAATGGAAAGCTGTAATGTAGCCGTGGCGGGATCAATTTTGGCTTGGCGCCCGCCATGGACAAGTGAATGTAGTGGAAACCATGCGCCTTCTGACAAATGTAAAGATGTTCAAAATAAGATTTTAACAACAAAGATACTTGTTAATCTTCTTAAGTATCAAACTTTAAATCTGCTGATCTGTTGATTGTGCTGTTCTTCAGAATACACGATCACTATGTATGACACCAAAAGCAGAGAGCTGCGCTGGAATGCTACTTACTCTGACTATGCCTTCACCCTTCCAGATGAAGACACCAAATACAGTGAGAAATCAGCCATGTTGATCACTATATAGCCGGAAACCCTTTCGCTCTTCTTTTGTAGCACAACATTGTTTTCTTTGTTTCACAGATATGGCCCACTTTGTGTCCAATGGCGATGGTCTAGTGGTGACAGTGGACAGCGAGTCTGGAGACGTGCAGTGGGTTCAGAACTACAACTCCCCTGTGGTGGCAGTCTATATCTGGCAGCGTGAGGGACTGCGCAAAGTCCCACACACCAATGTTGCTGTTGAAACATTACGCTACCTCACGTTCATGTCAGGAGAGGTGGGCCGCATCACACAGTGGAAGTATCCATTTCCTCGAGAAAAGAAAACCAAAGATAAACTGTTGTAAGTAGCCCCTTTAACTCCTTTTATTTTAAGTCTGTTTATGTAGAACTTCTTACAATGTAGATGAAAGAGTTAGAATAAAAAGCCATAAAATATTTCAAACTGTGGAACATTCCAGCAAGTCAGGCAAGCAGGAGAGTAGTGGTAGAATGTAGTTGTAGTCAATTTAAACAGATTTAATCCAGTTTAGCTTAAATGCCACTTAAATTTTAGCTCAAAGTCACTGCTAAAGGCCGATCCACATAATCCACAGCATGCTGATTGGGTCAGTTTTGGGAAAAGGCGAAACAGGCGGACTAACGTGAGCATAGACACCATTGAAATTACAGTGTTTTTGGGAGCTCCAGTTGCCCTGATTAATGCAGCCTGACAGCACTTTGTGTATTGTGTGTATGCAAGTTCAAAGACGTGTGTATTTAGTCCTGGTATATGCAAATTGACAGAGTGTGTCAGCTTCCCAAACTGTGCAAGAAAGGCTGTCCCAGAGCTTAGGTGACAGATATGAGAAGGATCTATCACCTACAGTCAATTTTGAAATTCTAGAAGTTAATTGAGCATAGTGGACATGAGGTGCTGTAATACAGCAGGAGCTCGCTCAAAAACTGGGGAGCGAAGCCATTCAGGGCTTTATAAGTTGTCAATAAGATTAAAAAAAAGGAGTCAATGCAATGCTGAGAGAACCAGACTAATATGATCATATTTCTTTGTTCTAGAAAGCACTCTAGAAGCTGCATTTTGAACCAGCCAAAGTTTTTGCATTGCAACCACCTGATAACCCGTTACAATAGTCTAATCAAGAGGTCGTAAAAGCATGGACAAGCTTTTCTCCATTAGACATGGAAGATGGAAAAATTACAGTTTTACAGATGCAATTTTAAAATGGGGCCTTCACATGACAGGTTTCTATCAAGTATTAGCCCAAAATTCTTGACCGACCGCAATGATTAAATGAACATCTGTCAAGGCAGTGTTCTAGGTTAGGCAATATTCTATGTTTTTTGTATGAGAAGTTTTTTGGTCCAATAAGAGTGGATTAATATAGAATTTAGTCATAGAAATTTCATAGAATTCTTAATTCATAGAATTTTTAATATCAATACCAATCTGTTAGTTTTGTAAATTTGACTGTGCTAAATGGCTTTTTTTTTGTTTTTTAAATTACAAATTTTTCACAAATAATCACATTTTATCAGTCAATCAAAATTCTAAATCAATACGGGGACATTTATAAGATGTTTGTAGGTTACCCACATGTTGTAAAAGCCTAAATGTCAGTTAATGTAACATTTACAGTTTAATTCAACACAAATTAGTTTATTTAATGCAGCTAATAATGTGTGCAATTTTATTACATTTTATCCTAAATAAAAAACATTTTTTTAATGTAATTATTTTATTAAGCATTGCTTTTAAAAATGAACTTTATATCAGATTATTCAATGAATTGATGGAATTCTTGGTAGAATACTTAATTACTAAAATATTGGATAAGTAGGCAGGGCAAGGCAAGTTCATTTATATAGCACACTTTATACACAGTGGCAATTAAAAGTGCTTTACATAAACAAGAATAAAAAAACAAGTATAAGAAAATAAAAACATCAAAGAATAAAAATGATTAAAATCAGATTAAAATGTGTTATAAACGGGAATGAATTATAAAGGAATGAAAAAGGAAAGAAAGACATGAACAGTGCTCATTTAAAGGCACAGCTAAACAGATGTGTTTTAAGTCTTGACTTGAGTGTACCTAATGTTGGAGCACATCTGATCATTTCTGGAAGCTGATTCCAGCAGCGAGGGGCATAGTAGCTGTAGGCAAATTCACCCTGCTTTGGCTGAACCCTTGGAATTTCTAATTTACTTCATCCTAATGATCTGAGTGATCTGTTAGGTTTGTATTAATTTATCAGAACTGTAATGTATTTAGGTCTTAGGCCATTTAGTGATTTCTAGACAAATAATAATGCTTTAAAATCTATTCTGAGTGTAACTTGGAGCCGGTGTAAAAACTAGAGGACAGGTGTGATGTGCACTGATTTTCTGGTTCTGGTCAGAATCCTGGCCACAGCGTTCTGGATAAGCTGCAACTGTCTGACTGTCTTTTTGGGAAGGTCAGTGAGGATGTCGTTACAGTAATCCATCCTGCTGCTGATAAAAGCATGAAGAAGTCCTCACTGGACAGAAAGCATCGAAATCTTTCAATGTTTTAGCTCTACAGCCCTAGTGACTGGTGAGTTTATTTGCTCACTCTTCCTATGGAGTTGTCCATTACTAGGGCCCTTTTTAGCAGATTTCTCAGTTGGTGCAGCAGTTTGTTTATTTGGTTATGTATAGTTATTTTAAATTATTGAATCTTGTCAGTAAGCAAATTTTACACTCCCTGAAAATTGTAATTGATTTATTTAAAGCAACAGTTTTATCTTGATCTACAATGGTTGTCATCAAATGCTCACCTCTTTTTTAATGACACCTCTTTGTGTTCTTTATACTTAAAAGAAAACCAAAAATCTGTCCGAAACCACATTTTACTCTCATTTGGCACTTGGTGTACACACATGGTTTAACTTTCTTCTTGCATCTCCAATATCTAAGCCACATCCTGTTTTTGCGAAGCAGGGTGAAATTTTCGAGAAATTCTAAGATGAGCTGCCTGCATTTTCTGTTTAGAACTTTTCAGTAAACACAGTAAATAGTAGTAGTAAAAATATATATAGGCTAGACTAAATATATAGACTAATAAAATAAATAAATAAATATAATAATAAAAAATATCTCTCTCTTTCTCTCAAACATGATTCATTGCTACGTAAAAGTCTTTGGCCTTCAATAGTAATGGTTAATTGACCATATAAATTATCTACCTGAATTGCTCAACATGTTTTTTAATTCATGTTAAACTGCTTTGACACAATCTACACTGTAAAAAGCACTATAGAAATAAAGATGATTGAAATTGAATTATCTTTGTGTTCGTCCTGAAAGGTGAAATTACATTTAGGGACGTTCAACTGATGAAAATCTAAAGACAAACTGGGGAAAATGCTGATAGAAGCCTGTTTTACTTCAGAGCAGGCTACTGAGTTCACAACTGTGCTTTGTGCCAATGGAGGTCACGTTGACTTTAGCCATATACAGCCATTTTGTCATTGCCATGATGAACAGTACATGATATTTTACTAGCAGGGTTCATACGGTCGTGGAAAACCTAGAAGAGTCATGGACATTTTGACATGGCATTTTCCAGGCCTAAAAAAGTTTTGGAAAAACAGAAAAACCCTCAAAGTTTTGGAAGAGTAATGGAAATTAGTGAACAAATTTCTGTATACTTGATATAGGGCTGTGCGATATTGAAAAAAACCTGACATTACGATATTTTATATTTCTGTGATATATATTGTGATGTGAATACAATTTTGCCAGATTATTTAACAGGTTTATTTGGATTGATTGGGGAATTTTGTAGGGGAGTTAATCTCGAATAATTTATAACAAATAGATTACAAGCATAGATAAAACATAGTAAAGATAAAAGTGAATTATAGTTTTCAGGTATTCACAATTCAGGTACATCAGAGATCGATAGTAATCAACATTGCAGAGTCTTCATTGTATGTTATTTAATCTCTATTAAAGTTACAAAAAATATCTTGTGCCGGATGTTTTAAAATGTGAAATATTGAAACGTTCACACAGTCACAGGCCTTAAAGGGACAGTTTACTCAAAGATTAAAATGTACTCACTATTTGTTAATTTAAAAAAAAGAAAACTTATAAATGTTTGAAACAAGTGAAGGGTGTACTGAAAATGGTAATTATTTTTGGGAGAACTATCTCTTTATGCTGATAATGCTGATTTTGTCTGACCAGAGGAGAACTCCATGTATAAAGCATGATATGATACAGCATATTTAATCCTTGCGCTATTTTAAGTGAATGATTCGAAAATCGGAGTCGACTCCAAAAAACCCACAACAAAACACCCCTATCTGTAGCCATTCAAAAATAATTATAGATGAAAAATAAAATAAATACTGTGAAAATATTTATTTTTGTTAAACACAGGCTAACTCTAACGCTGGATAGCAAGTTAATAGGGGTGTGTATATATTTTTAGACCAATCAAGAAAAAGACTGTACTGATACTGTGTTCGACACAAAAAATGGTTGCACTGTATGTACAAGTGTGGCTACTGAGAACATGCGTTTCTTCACGCGCAGTACTGCAGCTGCAAAGACTGCCTTTTCATAAAAAAAGAAAATGTTTGTGCTTTACACAATAGCCATTAGGTTGAGCAAGGAACAACCGCTTTTTTCAGTTGACTCTCAGTTGTCATGTATGTTTAAAGTTATGTATTTTTGTGTGAGATACCAGGAAAAAGAGCGCTTGATTCAGCTCCGTTGATGTCTCGAGCATATGAAATATACAGAATATAAACAACATATGAAAACAACAAAAAGACATAATCTTGAAAAAATATGTGTCCACTTTTGTAGACTCAACACAATTTCACAGATCTAGATAAAATAGCCTAAGCTATATTGAAATCATTTAAAGATAAACAAAAATCGGATAGAATAGAAACAATAAATAGACCAATATAAAACAAACAAAAGCTATAACAATTTAGGAATATACAGTATAATATAAACTAATTAAACCGTTTTAAGCCATTTTGAACTTTAATTTTACAAAAGCCTATCTGAAAAAATATATATATTTTATAAAAACAATAACCAACAGAGTATATTATGTAGCCATACCCTGCTTTGAACAGAAACTCTCTTTGTTGAACTATTTTTAGAGCAGATTTTCTGTGTCAGCCACAGATCTACAGGGTCTGTGGGACTAAACCTGAGAACCTCGTCAAGTGTGGGCTATTACCAGACAGAATAGATGATTTTGAGAAACAAGCTATAAATAATTTCCGGTTTCTGGTTGGTATTCTTACAGGTCCACTTTGTACGTGGGGAAACACTCCTC